GCCCGTGCCGCGCACACCGCCGCTAGCCCCCAAACGTCCGCTTCCCGCGGCCCGCGCGCCCATCGCGGCGTTCTGTAGGCGTACACTCAATGGTGTGGTAGGCCGGACGGACGCGCGTATTTGCCAATCTTTAAAAATTAATATCTCGTTAACTATTGCTGCAATCCCAAAATGGTACAGGACTTTTCGACTCAGTATAGTCTGTTCTACCCACCCGTGAAGTATTTGGCGGTTATTCTCGCCCACCCTGTATATAAATATTTGCTAATTTATGTATATAAATATATATAAAAAAAATTAGAAACGTCTGTTTACACGGTATTCATTGTAATAAAAATCAGAAGTGTTATAGCCCGAATGGCTATCACTTATTTTATTAATTATTTCATTTCAACCGGCATAGCAACCAGCACCGGAAATGCAAGTCTGCACATTCTTTAAACCGCGCGCGATAAAGCGTCGATCTAAGATCATAGCGCGCGAAATACCTAAATGCACTCGGCATGGCAACCGACAGCGGAAGTGCAAGATTGCACATTCTTTAATCACGCGATCGCGCCTCTAGCGCGACGAATATTACCATATATGGTCCGATAGAAGACCAAAAGCGACATCATCAAACTCAATATAAGCGACCGCCTAATTGCCGAGCGCAGTCTTGTCTTAAAATCTAAACGTAACGATACGTTACGCGCGTCTCGAGAACCGAGTTAAGTAACATCCGCGATAACGTCGCCGACCGGTTTACTCATAAGTCACGAGCGATAACTTTAAAATATATTCATTTAACTCAACAACTGTATTAATTAAATGAAAGTTACAGTTACTAAAAAGCATTGTAATCTTTAGTAATAAATAATTATATGAATAAAGGGGTACAACATTTGTAATCAATTATCAAATTGTGAAATAAAAAGGGTTATTTTAAATAGAAGTGTGGTGTAGTGAGTGATTGTTCGACCTTTTCACTATCCTCGTCTTTCCTCGTGGGTCCCAACCCTTTGAGCGGAATAAATCCCAAAATAATATCTTGTTGCACCGAGAGGTACAACAAAATTGGTGGCAGCGGTGGAATAATCTGGTGAGACATCACCGAAAAAAATCGGAGGGAATCCAAGAGAACCCGACGATCTTAACCGCTAGAGGAGACGAAACAAGACCCGTGCAAGCCGCGCAGTGGCAGCGGGCCGGAGAAAAATTAAATCACCGATTACGATCTCTCAAGTAAGAGAAGATACGTAAAAATACACGGCGAGTGCATGCCGTAGCTAAGACTTATTAGTCTAGCAACAAAATTTAAAAGTGAGTCGACAACACCACGCAGAGGTCGACGCCCGGAACTACCTCGGTACCAAGGAAGGCTGCCAGGACTCGAGGCGTTACGAGGACCAACCACCAGCGACCTTGCATCGAGACGGTGTCAACGAAGGGAACAGCGCAACATCGACAGCTGACACGGACTGCAGACTTCGCAGAACTTCAACACCCGAACAGCTGAGCGAGCCGAGCAGCGCAACGATGACGCGAGCGATTCTACTAATGTAAGTCGTATTTATGTTATGCGACAAGACCGTGTATGTCTAAAACTATAGACGCACAGGATACCGACCCGCATAATTGTAAATTAATAAAAGACACCGCCGAGCGAGCGAATAGCAAACCGCCGCTAATCATAACGAGCAACGCGCGTAAAGAAACCCGCGATAATATAAATAATAAATCGAATCAATCGATAGAAACAAAGAAAGTTTACCCCATCGCGTAATAACCAATCGCGAATTTCCGCTAAAATCTAAACGATTGTAGCTTAATAAAACAAGACGCAAGTAGCGCAGGAATAGTACCAACAGACGTACGAACTCACAAATAATAAAAACGAACGCGACCGCGCGCTGACAATACGCGACGAAAATATAAATTAAATCAGACGAGACTACTCAAAACAGCCGTGACATGACGACGCCGCGTACTCCACCCAGGGATTAAACCCCTGAACGCTTACTAATCACAGGCGAAGATAACGCCCAAAACTCAATCAACCCGCAAAATCGCGGTACTCCGGAGAATAGGCACGGAAGAAGAGTGACCTTTCAATTAGACGGAGACGAAAACGACACGCAGGATTCAATAGAAGCGCGAGTAACAAATAGACAGGACGAAGTCTTAGATCGATTGACAGCAGCAGTTGCCGGTTTACAAGATAGGATAGACCATATGGAATTTGCCCGCGAACGCGAAAATGTTCGACCCGTCCAACATGACAACAGAAATTCACGGACTTCCAACCAACAGACGGATTATTCGGTAACGAATATACCCCGCGAATCCGGAAGATCTTTACACTTCCTAACATTAAAAGAAGCACGCAACATGATCCCCGAAGTTGATGGCACTTCACGAGATTGCGTACGAGAATTTTTAAAGGCATGTAAATACTCCATGCGACATACTCATCCCGCGAAAGAATTTACTCTGTTAGAAGCCGTGTTATATACAAAATTCAAGGGAAAGGCTATGAAGGCATTCGAGAACAGAGATATCACTAGCTACGAACAGCTAAAAGACGAGCTAGAAACCGAATATTTAAGCCGACGAAGCACCGCGCATTTACAGCTCGAATTCAATTTCATTAAAACAAAAGCCGACGGAAACCGCACAAGAATTCGGACGTCGAGTAGATAATCTAGCTATAGAACTATACGACTCCATGGAGGAAGGAAAAACGCATACCCCCGAGTAGCAACGAGCCATCCTAGAGAATATTAGGGATCAGGCGCTATTAAATTATCAAATCGGGCTACGCGAAGAAATAAACACATTAGTACGCTCTCAGTACTTCCGAACGCTTCAAGAGGCCATTGCCGGAGCAAGTTCCGAAGAAAAAATAAAAGGCCTAAACGACCGACACCGCGCGTATCAACGCGACAAGAAAACGGACTCAAATTATTACTCCCCGCGAAATTTGAGAAACCCCGCACCCCAATGCAGTAAATGTGGAAAAACGGGCCACATCGGTCAAAATTGCCGGACAAGCCGATACGCGAATAAATTTTCCTTGCCTCGTGCCGAAAAGCCAGCAGGAATTAATACCGTCGAGAAATTTTGCACGTATTGCAAAAAGGCGGGACATAATCGCGAAGAGTGCTGGACACTTAACGGGCGACCAGACAAAAATACGCGACCACGCGCAAAACGTGAAATGGAGAACAAAACGAAGCGAGTAAACTCCTCCGTAAAGGTGAGAAATCAAAGGAGCAAGCGAAACAGCGACAGCGAGGAAGCATCGTCTACTAGCAGCGAGGACGAAGAAAAAAATAACACAAGTACTAAACAGGAACGCACTATCGGTGACTATCGCATCGCACACATAAGACGACCACGTGAGAACACGGGACTGGATCTAATTACACTACCTGCCCGAGAAGCCGAAACGGGAAAAATAAGTTTCTTGTATGATACCGGCGTAACTATAACATTAGTAAAAATGAAAACTTTACGCGCCAATACAATAGTCCACGAAAATAAAACTAGATTAATCGGTATCAGCGGACACGCGATTGAACCAATCGGTATAGTAAATATAACGATAAGCCTGCGCGACGGTACTTAAACACCCCGTGCACGTAATTAGGGAACAACGTACCCATCGAACACGACATTTTAGGAGCCGACTTTATAAAGAAATATACTTCAGGATGCGACTATGATAAAATGCTGATCCGCATCGGGAATAATAAATTTAGACTTCGTCCGTACAAACGAGTAAAACTAGGACCGCGAAGCGAAACTATTGCCTAAGCGACGGTAGATCGAAATATAACCGGCGTGACGCAAGCTGAAGGAACCGCGCCAGGGATTTTCATCGGGAGCTGCCTTGTCGAGCCTCGCGAATACACATGCCCCGTGAGCAT